AGGACGGACTAGAGAATAAGTACGAGACGAAAGATAAGTACAGTTAATTTCCAACATGTCACGCACTCACCACCTGAGCATGACCATGAGGCATGAATTTACGCCCCTGCGAGCGAAAACTAGTCTGACTTACACGGGCAAGGTGCGATAACAGGCCAAGGCACTCAGGCGTCGGAACTCTCAGTCTAACGACCACAGGCGTATGGGTACTTTAGTTCCACTCCGCCGATAGGCACATAATTCTCGGCATCGGAGGACAGTGAGATAACCACAACAAAATCTAGCGCGAGAAGTGGGCCTAGTGCTGGAGGATGGACCAGTTTATTAGTCTTGTCGCTGACTACCAGGCGCGCCCACGGTCACCACTAGTGGAACGGTTTTAAGCGGACTCTCGAGTCTGGCAGACAGCCGCCGACCACCAACAATGACTCTACCACGGCGTGGAGACTCGGGCCATGGTGCTATAAATTAACCCGAAAAGCCCGATGGCGGTACTGCAACTCAGGGATAATAAACTCCACTGACCATCGTTCCTTTACGGAGGGGCACTAATGAGCCAAAGTACTCGTAGAAACAGCCAAATGGAGCGGCTGTTGGGGACCAGGATGGACCGAAAATTCCCAAAAGACCACGAAAATAGAGGCCGGATAAGTCAGGCTTGACGAAATCATTCCAACTATAAAAAAAGATACAGTGAGTAATAACTTATGTCATGGAGGTCAAAACGGACGAAGGGCAGACGCATCCCAGCAGACGGATACAGAAGACGTGTGGTTAAGACAAAATGGGCTGTCCTGGAGACGGTGGAGAAAACCCTGAAGTGATCCCACGTGACGCCTCTTACGAGGCTGGCAGTGTAAAAGGCACTTAAAAGGAACATTCCGCACACAGAAGACGATTATTAAGACTACGACAACCTATCATGTGATCGGGTGGAAGATAGGCAGGATGGAAAATTGGGCACACGGACCGTCATCTTAAGCGGCCTTTCGTCGAAATCGTGCAACTAGCAGAAATTGAGGAAATCTGCTGACCAAATCCGCCTTAAAGCCACAATGAGCAGCATAAAACTTTGGGACCGATGAAAAGTTCCCAACGATCGTGTACACTAAGAATGCGCTGTGGGAAAGGAATACCCCAAAGGAGGTCAACGCCACTGTGAGCGGAATAAAAGGCGACGTCGGAACTAGCAGTCGGGGAGGTTAAACAAAAGTACGGAGGGAACCATGAAACGCAGAAACGCAGTCAGCAAATCAGATTTTGTACGAAGACAGTAGTTCATGGGTTGGCTCGGCAAACACTGCCCGTAATAGAGGGTGATGCATCAAAGACAGAACTTAAGAAGACAAAAGATGAAGTGAGCTATCGTATATTTGATAATAGCATAAAAATGGTAAGAAAGTACAGGTCAGATAGGCAGGATGGGGAGGTGTTTGGCTTTCCCTCGGAGTAAAATCGATGATAAAAAAACTGCAAGGGAATGGAAAGATGG